GCCAAGGCAAGCAGAGAGACTGTCAGTAAAATAGTAAAATGAGTCACCTTCTGGAGAAAAGACTGTCTTACAAAGCCATAAAACAGAATTAATACAGGAAAGAGAAGGAGGAACATCAAAAATGCAATGATTTGTGTTCCACCCGGACAAGAGAAGTATCTCAAACTTTCCCCAGCTACACTACAGCTTGCATGTCATACAACTGGCACCAACAGCCAGCTCCACTCATCTTTATCTTTTCACGTCTTCTACTGTGCTACTAATAATTTTATTTAAAAAGTAAAAGAAGAGATGTATGTCATTTGTTTTAAATGCTAGCACTGGCCCCTAAAGTTAACTTACAGGCATCTGCTAAGGACGGTTCTACCAGAATAACCTAGATTCCATGGCAGATTTTGTTGATTACATTTCAGGAAACCTATTGTATTAAAAACCTTAAGTTTCTAGTACGTAAAGTTTCTAAAGTTGTAATATTAGTACCTCCCTCCTTCCCTTCCCTTCCACATAGAAAGGATGTATGTGCTTCTATGTTTTAAATTAATCCAATAAGGGATAAAATGAAAAATAGCACAGGGGTTGGCACCTATCAGTTTAATTAAGGAAATGATTTGCCCACTTAAGGGAGTGTTTAGTAATGAACGGGTCTCAGAGTCTCTGTGTCCAGGGAAGGGCCCGTGAGAAGTCCCAGCCAAGGCAGAATCTAAAGAAAATTTCCTTTATGCAATACGCAAACATCTCAAAATATTCAATGACCACAGAGATCAGCCAAAATAAACTCGCACGGGGGCAGAGTACGTCATTCACATTCATTATTTTTGATTTACTATATGGAGGACAGCAGTGATTCTGGAACATTTTTGTATTTTTTTCCAGTAAAAATAAATCCATTAAGTTCTACTGGGGACATTGGAATAAATAAATGTAAATCCTTGGAAAATAGGCTGGGATGGGGTACACTTGAGAAGTGCATAATAAATATGCCTTAACGTGGTTTTTACTGTGGGCATAATCCAAGAACAGACGTGTCATTGTATAGACTTTAAATATTTTGATTCCTATCCTGGGGTTGTACACAGAGGATCTGCTCCCTTCCAAAAGGTGGGGATTCAGCTGATCAAACCGTTTAGCAGATGGAATGGTTTACACTTGAAAGCAATTTCTGGACCACTTCACTCCTTGATACTAAGTGCTACTTACTTTATTCCTGTAATGTGACTAAGTTCTCTTGCAACCTGATAAACATGTAGAGTGTGAGACCCCGTCTGAGTAAACTATGATACACAACATCGTGTTAATTTTAGGGAGTCTGGTTGGAAAGTAAAATACAATCAATCAGTTGACACTGGCAGCGTAGCTGTCTTTCCTTCCCTTTCTCTGACACACATACACGTGTGTGCACCAAATGTATATTATTTCTTGATAATTTTTGTTTGTTTGTTTATTGCGTATAAAGCAGAATTTACCACCAGTGCCAGGTTTGAATTCTCTGCTGCCTATTTTCAGTTCCTCTTTTCTCCTGTCCATGTAACAATTCACATCCCCCAGAAGTTAGGTGACTGTCCTTTTTTTTCCTGGTTTGTTCCTTAGGTTCTGCCTTTGCTGGGACTTTTCATGGCCCTTCCCTGGACACAGAGACTCCCACTGAGACGACGCAGCTGTCTTCCCAGGCTTGGCCGCAGCCCCTTACCTTTGTACAGAGTCTTGGGAACTTGGCAGGTGTGCCCACACCCATTAGAGCAACACTTCTTCACCCCGGAACACTCATTGTCAACTTCACAGCTTTCCACGCAGGCGGCTGCAAACCCACTGGCCTTCTCGGGAGCTGGGCAGTCCCCCTGCTTCACCAGTAGGACGTACTTGAGGAACTCACAGCTGGTCAAGCACTCGTAGTTCTTCTTGGGGAACAACGGCTAAGAGAGAGAAGATTCAGAAAAAATTATTCCATTAACAACACGTGAAGTCTGATTTCCAAGACATCAGAGAAGAAGTTCAATGTTTTTATACCATCAAAATTTCCCTTTAATGTTTTATAAAACAGACATATTTGCTTTCTCTTCCCCCACCAAAGTGACATCTTGTGCTGAAGTCCTACAAGAATATGACTCAGGAGGGATGATTTTTTTATTGCATGCAACAGACACACAGCAGTAGGCATATGCACATTCACACAGCATTCTACTCTACTGCAGTGCAAAGACAGTCCTCAAAAACTGATTGTAAATACTCGCAAAACACATCAAGTACAGCTCGAGGGCCCCTTTGGGACTGTACAAATTACATATATTTCAATTCACTAACAAATCATTCTTTTTAATTTTTTTCATTTAACATAAACTAATCAAAATAGTTTAACACAAGCTGAGTAAAACTTTACAGTCCTCACAACGGTAACTCAGAGATTCCCTCACAAAATGTGGCTAGCCACATTTCTGTACCATCTAGTTTTTTTGTGGCATTGCCAGTGAGTCGTGCAGTAAGAGAATGTGAATCTTCTTTAAACGTCCATGGACCCCCTGTGATCTGTGGGACAGGCTCTGAACAGCACCTTGCCAAGGGCACTTTGGCTGAGCCCAGAATCAGTCAACCTGCCGGAGAAGGGGACGTGCTTGACCGATGAGAGGGACACGTCACTGAGGAATGTGAAAGGATCTCTCATCAAACACACCTATTTCCTCAGGAAAAATGGTTCAGGATGGCACGGGGTCACGTGTGCTACAGTCAGAGGATGGTGGCTCTTTTCTGCCACTGGAAAGAGAAGGTGCTGTTTGGGCTTAGCCCTCAGGGACAACAGCAGCCAAGATAGGCCCGAGGTCCAGCCCAAACCCTGACGGCAACCCTCTCCCTGCTGCGTGGAAGACAGACAGAGCCTGACCTTGACATTTAGGATAGAGGGTTTCCGGGAAAGCCACCCTAACCCTTCATCCACTTTTACCTGAAATACAGGGGCCAGGTTAAATTTTCCTGCCTTTCTTTTCCCTGGGGACGGTCATGTCATCATGAGTGGACTCAAAAGAGTTTTGTGTCCTTGTGCACCCAGGCTTGTAAGTCAAGGGGATGGCACCCCACACTCTCTTACTAGCTGGTGTGGGTGATGGCAGGGCCGCAAGACTGGAAAGAAAGTGGGGCGCTGCCTAACCACGTGGAACTGCCACCTCCAGCAAAGGGCCACCATGGTTTCTGGATGTGGGAAGCAGGAGACGGACAAGGCAGGACGGGATAGGAAAATAAATGAAGCAGTGATGGTGAACACAGACCGGGGACAGCATGACCGGGAGACCGCTGCTGTGCATGGAGGACTGTCACTCGTCCTGGTAACACCTGCTCATCCCCACCCATGACTGACCATGGCTCTCTGCTTTCAGGTGACCCCTGAGGAACGCCTGGCCACACCCACCGCTGCCTGGCCACACCCACTGCTGCCTAGCCACAACCACCGCTGCCT